CTCCCAGGGTTATTCACCTCCCAGGGTCTGTGAGAGCTTCCATTTGTAGCCCCACTCACTCCCAGCTGCCTGTTAACCCTGAGCTCCTGCCCTTAGTCCCTGCGCCATTGGCCTGTGGCCATGCGCCCTAAGGCTTCTTAGCAATGCCATCTCAGATCCTACCCAGATCTGCCCTTCAACCAGGACCCCAAGTGTTTCCTCATATGGAGAAGAATTCCACAGATGACTGTCAGACACCCCCCTACCCCACCCCACCCCCACACCTATAGCTGGCCTCAAGCTCACCTTCTTGGGTTTTCTCTAGTCTGCTCCAGACACTTCATGGGCTGCCCTAGGGCAGCTTTTGTGAAGTGGTGGTTTGAGGAGCAGGGGCTGATTCTACAATGCCTCATGGTCCAGTCCTGGGTAGAGCATGTTCCTCCTCCAGAGGCTTTTTGGGATGCCTTGGGGTTCAGGTGGGTATGATGGACGCGCCTTCAGGAATCCAGGAGGCATTGCCATATTCCTATAGATCAGGCTACTGCAGATGAGGGGTTGGACAGACATCTCAGTGTGCTGGGCTGAGAGTGTGCTGGGCTGAGGTGGGGCTCCTGTTGGCCTTCAGCTTTGATTGTGAAACCTCAGAGGGAGATGTCACTGGACACTCACCCCTCAGCCTTGGAAGCTGTTGGTTTGAAAGAACACTATGTAGCTTGGGGGTGCGAACTCTTCGGCCTTTTGTTGACAGCCCTGACCACACAGGCCTTTATGACAATAGTTGCAAAGACAAAGAACTATCTAAACAATGTCATCTTTGGGTCTTTTCTCCTTAATGACCTCCAAGGCTCTGAAAACATTGTAAAAACTGGGCCCTGTCCAATCTTAATCAGTAACCCCCACAATCCCTGCCAGGGTATGGAGCTTTGCCAGCGACCTGTGGTGGGGGACCAGGAAGATGCCCATACATGCAGACAAAGATGCCACTCTGCCATAGGCAGGTGGTATGACCCAGTCTGGACTTTGGGGACAAGGAAGGAGAACAGAATGTATTGGTTGCAGAGATGTGACATGTACTCCTCCAGCTAGGAAGAGAGCTGGGCAGGGAGAGAGAGGGGCAGCTGCCAAGCTTAATTAACAGTGGAAGCTCATCCTGGGGAGGAGGAGGCGATGTGGAGGGGAGGGGCTCTTTACTGGAAGATGGGGCACTGCAGATGCCAGTAAGAGAAAGTGGCAGCGTTTGGCTCTGGCAGCGGTGTACACCAGAGAGGACTGGAGCCTCAAGCTGTGCTGAGATGAGCACAGACTTGTGGGGGTGTGAGTGGGGGAGTTTATTTGCACCAGCATTCCCAAGTAGGTGTCTTTTCAAAACAATCCACCTCATAGTAGCTGGCCAGCCTTCCTCGTCCTCAGAACAGAATGGAGAAATGGCGCTTGTGTTCGGAACACAGTTGGTGGTGTTGAGTTCTTGCTCTCTGATGCGGTCTGTGGATGGCCTCGTTGCATTTTACTTCTTCGATGTGGAAAGAGAGAGGACTTGAAAAATTTACCTCGTTTCTTTGTCTGAGACAAATATGCAGAGATATGAAATACACAGCAACACTAATAGTGTGGGGCTGGGGGGCATGTAGCTCAATTGGTAGAGTGCTTGCCTAGCCCACACAAAGTCCTGAGTTCGATCCCCATCACATTAACGAGGAGTGGTTGTGCCCACCTGGAATCCCAGCACCTGGGAGATAGAGGCAGGAGGATCAGGAGTTCAAGGTCAGCTTTGGCCACATAGTCATTTGGAGGCCACTGTCTTAAAAAACACCACCAGACAAAACCAACAATGTAGATGAGACTTGAAATGCAGGCTCCTGAACATGGCTTTTTCCTTCTCTGGCGGGACCGTGGAATTTCAGGGCTGAATAGTTTTGCTTCTAGTTCCCTGCAAATAATGTACACATGGCCCTTTGACATCCATGCCAGCTGAGTGCCGGGTCCCCATGCCCCCCTCCATCTCCCAGGCAGCTGTGGCAGTTTGAAGCTGCATCTTGTGCATCACCTGCTGTTCTGGGTCCAGCTACTGGATGCACTAGAGGAAACATTTCATCCCAGGACAGTCCTGTTGACAGACTAGACACCCACCTGCTTCCCTTGTCATCTTCACTTCCTGCTAAACACACAGGCTCCTCATAGTCCCAGAAAATTGGATGAGGAGGCCACTGGTTATCCAATTGGATAATGAGGCCACTGGCCTGGTTCTCCTCCCCTCTGCCCCCCATCCTGTTTTTTCTCTCTCCATCTCTTTGTGGTGAGGATTGCTAGCTCTCCACCATGCCTTAATACTTACCCTCTTTGCTCTTATAGGCGGACTGTACGTACCCCCTATTCAATCTCCCACCTGTCTCCTGGGGTCTCCTCTTCCCACTCCTCTCCCCTCAAGGTCTTCTCTCTCTGCCATGAAGCAGCTCACTACCTTGGGGCTCCCTCCCCCATCTCCCTTCCCTGTTCATCCCTCTGAGAGTATGTAGGTCTTCGGGAGCTCGACAAGAGTTGAGGTGGAAGAGAAGCCCTGGAATCTGGCTCCACATTTCTGCCTCTCAGCAATTCTGAGCAGCTCTCTAATATCAGAGCCCTAAGGCTTGTTTTAAGCCCTCATTGCTAAAACCCACCTGGGTCCACCCACCTGGTTCCAGCAACGAAACATTGCGTTTCTTTCCTTACCTGCTCCCAGTGACCCACCAACACTGCCTGGCATGCTTTCTGTCAGTCTTAGCCAGTCTCCCGGAGGAGGTAGTTTGCTTCCTCCCTTAATTTGCATCTTCTGCAACCTTGCAGAGTAATGCACACACTTTTTCCCTCATTGGTGTGAATTGCCATTGTTGCAAGGGGACAGTACAGGGCATTGTGGACTATGGGGCCAAACTTGATTACACAGGCTGGAACCAGGGTCCAGCAGGCCTGGTATTTTGTTCAGTGTGTCCAGTCCTGCCCCGTCCTGCATCCCCCAGTCTGCAGTTCTTCCTGAGGCTGGCAGTTTGCACCTAGCATTGAAAATATTTTAAACCTGGCAGCTGGAGAGATGGCTCAGTGGGCAAGAGCCTTGCTGCAGCTCTTCCTGAGAACCCGAATTTTATTCCCAACGCCTGGGGCAGGTACCTCACAACTGCCTGTGCCTCGAGCTCCAGTGGATCCAAAATGTCTTCTGGCCTTCATGGGTGTGTGTGGCACACACATAGACACACACATACACAGAAGTAAAAGTAAAATGAAGTGCCAGTAGGAAAGAAAATATTTGGAACTAAACTGTGATGGTTGTGTGCACATAGCCAGGGATTAACACCGTTAAGTGCCTGCCCCCACACCACATACATGTTCTGGTGGGGGAGATACCCTGTAAAGGGGATTCTTTTAGCTTTGGTGATAAGGTAATGGCTCATAAGTATTTGAATATCCTTTTTTATCAACCTTTTAAAATATTTTATTATTATTTTATTTTATGTGTATGCGTGTATTGCCTGCATGCAGGTAAGTGCACCTGTGTCGTGCACTGCCGTGGAGGACAGAAGTGGCTCTCGGATCCTCTGGAGCTGGAGTTATGGACAGTTATTAGCTGCCATGCTGGTGCTGGGATTCGAACCTGGGTCCTCTGCAAGAACAGGAGGTGTTCTTAACTGCTGAGCCATCTCTCCAGCCCCATTATCAAAGTTTTTTTATTACATTTATTTATTTTTGAGTGTCTATGGAGTGTTGCAGGTTTCCTCGCAGGTCCAGCCCATGAGGGACTGCAGGGAACAAGGGTTCTGGCCGAGGTGGGGGTGAGAGGCACCGAGTCAACACACAGACACCGGGAGTCAGGTAGAAGCAGGCACTAGGCGTGGTGTTGCAGACTCATTTATTGCTGGGAAGTGCAAGCCTTATATACCTCTCTCCCTGCCCCCAGTGTCCCATAAGTTGGTGTGTCGCTTCCTGATAGATCCCCTCATCCGGGTAGATTGTAGGTTGGCTGTTTTGCAGAAGTGCAGGCTGTGCTCTCAAAGCGGAAGCTGTGTTCTCTAGTGCAGCCCGTGCTTAGGCCTGGCACTTCCTCTCCTACAATGGAGGTGAAAGGATAATGTGCAGAGGCAGGTTTATCCTTTTCCCATGTGGGACGCAGGGACCGAACTCAGGTTGTCAGGCCTGGTCTCAGGTGCTTTCATTGGTTGAGCCATCTTGGCCCATGTCTTTATGAAATTTTAATTTATTATTTGTGTTTGTGTGTGTGTGTGTGTTTTGTATGCATGTGCATCTACATGCATGTTTAAGTCAGAGGACAGTTTTCAGGAGTCAATTCTCTCTTCCCACAGTGGGTTTCTGGGATTGAACTCAGCTGGTCAGACGTACGGGGGCCAAGAGGGAGGGGGAATGCTGGATGCACTTGTACCTGCTGAGCTGTCTCACTGCCCCTTGAGTAACTTGCTTCTCTTTCTATTGTTTTGGTACTGGGGGTTGGGCCCAGGGTCACACACACACACACACACACACACACACACACACACACACACACACAAAGGATCCTCCAGCACTAAGCAACGTGTGTTGAGGGGCAGATGCTGACTGAATCACTGAATACAATCAGTACATGAGAACAGAGCCCCTCACACATAGTTGTGTTGGTGTACAATGTGCTCTGTCCTTCTGTGTAGAAGCCAGAGCCATTTTGAGAAATCTGCAGGAATCCTCCACACCCTATTCTAACGAGTCTGTCATCCATTCCTCTCAGGTTTCCTAACAAATGCCAGCTGGTCCACTGGACCTCCCGCTGCCCATCGATGTGACTTTAGAGCCTCAGGGTGGGTATGAGGTAGAAAAGTGGGCAGAATCAGCCAAGTCCAGATACTGCCTACCACATTGCCCTGTTGACCTGAACTCCCAAGTTCCCAGTATGGTGCAGAGGGCTCATAGACTAGTGTAACTGTACATGGGCTGATGTAACAGTGGGCTATGGATGACTGGTCCTTCTGGGTTAGTAACACATTGGTTTCCTCTTCTTTCCCCAGGCTCCACCTACAGCGTCCTGTCCATCATGCCCTCGGACTCGGAAAGCAGCAGCTCCCTTAGCAGTGTGGGTGAGTTCTACCTTCCTGGGGATAGTGCATGGGCCAGGACTTGGATGTGAACAAGGAGAGCCTGAGAAGGATTCATGTAGCATAAGACGTTGGTTCTTTTTGTCAGATCATATGTGACGTTATCCTCTGTTGACACCATTTGCATTTTCTCTTGTCAACAAAAATCTGGCTTTGGTGTTAGGGAGGTGGGTACAGGAAGCACATTTCTCTTCTTTACTTCTTTAGGGTGTAGGCTTTCTCAGAGCCTGGTCAGCCCCCCTTGAGAATCTCAAGCCTCTCCTTGAGATTGACTCCTCGTACTTATGGGACTTTCCTCTGTCAAAAGGGTAGTATGATGCCCTGGGAAAGTAGCCAACGCATTCTGAAATGGATGCTTCCTATGCCTGGGAAGTGAGCACATATACTGACAGGAAGGTCATAAAGTTCCCCCAACCTTCCTGAACCTCTGAACCCTTGCTCTATATTGCACCCCTCAGTTAGAAGCCCTGATGCCCCTCTTTGACTGTGATGGATGGGAAACACATTCAGTGTGCAGTCCTGGAGTTTCTCAACATGGAGGTCTCACAGGGGTCGTCTGGTCTAGTTATTGTGCTTTCTTGCTACAGAGAGAAGGGAAAGTTGACACCCGAGGGGGAAGTGCCATGCTTGGGCTTCCAGAACCAGCAAGGACCAACCTCTCATTTGTCACTTCACTTCCTGGGCTCTTTGTGCCAGGTGTGAGGTGGTGTGCGGTCCAGGTGGTGGTGCCGCAGGTGCTGGGTCTCAGGGTGTGCAGGAGACTGGAAAAGTTTCAGCATTTGGGAGGTCAGTGTGATTCGAGGCAGACGTGTCCAAGATTGGTCTTCCGCATTCCAGGTTCCCGAGGGCTCAGTGGGGAGCCCCACTACTCCCGCTTCCTCTGCCAACAACTTATCTCACCTTTGCCGACTCCTGCTGGCTGCATTGTCTGTCTGCCGAGGCCCATGGGGGGCAGTTTTCATCAGTGATGGCACATGGCTTCTCTGACCACCCTCTACCCCGCTGTCACCAGCCCTGTGGATCTTCCTGGGTGTACTCTGTGCTTCAGGCTGCTCATCTTTTCTCCCTATTCATCCTGATCTAAGTTCTCTGTGGACATTTTATTTCTCATCTTGAGTTCAGTAGGGAGATTGTAAGGAGGGAAGGATACATTCGTAGTCAGTGTTTGGAAAGTAAGTCTTCATTTCCCTGCAGATGGAGATGGTGGGAGGTTTCCTATGAAGTAGAGGGAGATCTCTGCCTTGTGGAGGAAGAGGTGAAGGACTTTCCTTTGTCCCAAGGATGTCTCCTGGACAGGGCAGCTTGGCTTCTCTTGGATAGGGGGAGGGAACAAGTCATCAGGGAGGAAAGGACTGTTCCCTGTGATCTCAGCAGTCCCTTCCCTGGACAATCTTTGTGTTTTGAACATTTCCTTCTTCTTTGAGATAGGTCCTTGCATAGCCCAGGCTAGCCTTGTACTCAATATAGGATCTTGAAATTCTGATATTCTGACACCCCCAATGTAGTGCTGGGATTACAGCTATGTACCGTGATACCTGGTTTCTTTAGAACTGCGTGTCAAACCAGGGCCTTGTGCATGCTAGGCAAGTTCTCTACCAACTGATAATCTGTAGCTCCTGGACAGCCTTTTGTATCCTGGGAACCCTTGGAATCCTGGCTTTTATGGTGTTACTTAGACTTGTAGGAGACCTTCTCTTGGAGCATGTGTTCACTGCCTTCAGAGATTCCTCATGAGCATGTTGCAAGGTTAACCAAGCTGCTGCAAAGATAGACTGGTGATTGTAAAGAGACCAGAGAGAGGCCAGAGGAAACTGGCCTTCAGTCTCTGGGGAGGACATCAGGAAAGAGGTGATTTTGAGGAAGGCACAGTGCGTTCTAGCAGGGAATGGAGCAGCTTCCTGGAGAAGGTGGGGCTTGAACTGGGCCTTCTAGGAATGGAGCTCTGGAGCTGGGAGCCTCTGGGAAGCAGTGGGCCTTCCCTGCTTGTCTTGGCTCCTGAAAAGCAGACCCTGAGTCAAAGATTCCAGAGCATTAGTTTCTCTGACTAGAGATCCAGGACCTGGCAAGGCTGCAACTACTGTGCTCGGAGTTCATTTTTTCACTCTGAGCTGGGGAAGGAAGCCAGCAGGAAGCAGGACTAAGAGGTGTCCACAAGATCAGGGCAGGGTGTCACCTTCCTTTACCCCATTGGATTCCGTTAGGTATAGTGATTGTGTGACACTAAAAACATGGAGAGAAAAAGCTCCTGTAGCAGAAGAGCTGTAAGAAGCAATGGCCCAGGACAGGGCTGGGTCCTTCCCGCCAGCTCTGCCTGTCCTGGGCTGTTAGTATGGATGGCTTGGTAAGTCTGGTGACTGTGTTCTGTCCCTGCGTGGTTTCTGCTTTGACACCCAGGGTCTGGATCAGTGAGACAGGTGATCCAGGTATGCCCACACCACTTGACTGCTTTTGCCCAGTGTCAGTTTTCAAATGGACTTTAGGCACTATAGGCTTGAGGGCTCTGAAGCCTGCATGTTGTCCAGCTATGAATAAGCCTGAAGAGGCTGCCTCAGTGTCACCTGGAGTGTGTGATGAGGGAGCCAGGGACAAAGAGCTCACAGCTGAGTCATCCACCTAGCCGATCAGCTGCTCACTGCCTGGGGACTATATTGTGGCAGCTGCACCAGCTGTGGTGACCCAAAAGAGCTGGGGATTTCCAGGATGCAGAATGGCTTCTGCTCTGGCCCTTGCTCCCTGCCGTTCCACCTCTTCTCACACAGCCAGGCCCAGCTTGTAGCCGTTGTGTCTATAATTCTGGGCCTGGTTCAGTGCTCCTGAATCCTATCCTACTGATATCAGAGTATACTAAGCTCCTGGCCGGGAATAAACAGACAGTCATGGTGGGTTTGGGGGCTTCCATGTGACCATAGTGAGGTAGGGCTGCATCATCCTCAGCACATTTTCCAACCCTGGAAAGCATGTAAAATGATTGTGATGATTGTGTGTGTGTGTGTGTGTGTGTGTGTGTGTGTGTGTGCGCGCGCATGGGTATGTATGTGGAAGACGGAGGATAAACTTTTGTGTGGTTCCTTTCAGATGCTCTACCTCTGTTGAGACAGGGTCTCTCATGGTCTGCAGTTAACCAGTTAGGTTGAATTGTCTGGCCAACTAGCCCTATATCCTCCTGTCTCGGCCTCCTTAGCACTGGTATTGACAGTGTGTGCCATCGTACTGGGCATTGTTAGGTTAGTTCTGGAGATTTAATTTCAGGTTGTAGTGTTTGTTAGGAAAGTAGTCTACCAGCTAAGCTGTCTCCTCAGTCCCCACAACAGTGTTTTTATTTGAATGGTGGTCAACAGGATTTTCTGTACCACTTGGTGTTATTTTAGAACTTCCTGGCTTAATACATCTTGGGATTTATCTTGAGATCTCGTGTTAGGAAATGCTGGGGACATCAGGATCAAGTCAGAGAGGCTGACACTTGCTGGGATCTCATGCCTGGTTGACCTCCCTTGTCACACTCCCTGTCTTCACATGTTTGGCATGAGTGGTTGGGAGGTGGCGATGTGGGGGATGAGAGGAGCCCAGCCATGTTGTGAGCAGTGTTGAGTGTTGTTGAGGCCTTGGCTCTTGTATCAGTCTGTTAGGGGGTCCCATGTGCTATTGTCTGGTCTTGTAGGTGTCAGTTAACCTGTACACCCTGGCAGGCAGCTGGGCACTAATGAGATGTGGAGGGTGCATGCCCTGAACTGAGCACCTTGACTGTGCTCCCTAGGTGTCAGTCTTACTTTGTTTTCTGGGCGACCAGTTGGCCCAGGTCCTCCCAGTTGGACCCTGAGACATGATGCGTGGTGGGGTTTGACTGATGACCTTTACCTCTGTTTTGCCTTCTCGTCCTCTTTCCCTTCTAGGTTCCCTCAGTGCCAGGAATGAATCTCTTTGTTGCCTCAGATTTGTAAAATGTAGGTCACAACCCCCCGTTTCCCTGGAGGCAGGCTGCTGGGCCTGGGAATGCTTTTCAGTTCTGTACTTAGACTCTAGATGCTTCTCCAGTGCCTCACCAACACGCTCGTGGCCTGTTCTCAGTGCGGCCTGGTATCCCTGAGGTCGATTCGGGGGCCTGTGAGCTCAGGCTGCTTTGGTCAGGACCCTGGGATGCCTCTAGCCTTTCTTACTTTCATCCTCAACTGGTGTTGGGTAGAATGTTCCAAAGGTTCTATCCAGTGCACGTGACATTATGCAGAGATAGGACTTGTGTCTCTAGGAAGCCAGATGTTATGCACATTACCCAGTGTAGGGCAATGCAACTCATTCTGCTTGTTTGTAATGGAAAGGGTAGTTAATGGTTTGCTAAAAACCTTGGATGGGTATGTTAGAGCTATTTGGAGTTTCAGTAATTTTTAAAAATGTATTTTATTTATTTTTATTTTGTGTGTACAAGTATATTACTTGCATGTATGTTAGTGTACCTGTGTTGTGCAGTGCTTACAGAGGTCAGAAGAAGGTATCAGGTCACCTGGAACTGGAGTGCCATGTGGGTGCTGGGATTGAACCTGGGTCTTCTGCAAAAGCAGCCAGTGCTCTTAACGGCTGACCCATCTCTCCAGTCCCCTAATTTTCAGTAATTTTTAAGCAGTCCTAGGATTAAAAAAAAAGTTTAGACAGTATGGCTGGAGCGTAGCTCAGTGGTAGAATGCTTTTCTGGCGATGGCAACAATCTTGGTTATTTCCCCAGCATCACACACACACACACACACACACACACACACACACACACACACACCACATAAAGTGTTTAGAAACTTTTAGTTTAAACTTTGGGCTCTGGGGTCTGTTAGAGATCCACATCTCAGTGTTGTCTCTTACAGGCCCTGTGACCTGGACACGTTATTTAACCTTAGTAAGGTTTTGTCTCCTGATGTGCAAAGTAAAGTCAACATCTGCCTTCTGAGAATAGAATGGGGAGTGAGTGAAAAGCATTTCTTAAATTGCCTGGCGGGAAGTAAGAGTTATTGACTGGGAGACAACAGGTCCAGGGTACAGCTCTAGTGCCTGAGTCCAGGTTCCTGGGTCTCAGTTCTCAGCTGTCTAATTCTTTTGGGCATTAGTTCCTCTCCTGTGATATGGGACTGGTGCTGCAGTGCCCACCTGTGGGCCTGTTTGGTAGAATAGCATCTAAGATGTCTATCTTGGCCTGACTGCTCCAAAACACAATTTTCTGGGTATTCCCCAAGTGCTTTTACCCATGGTTGTGGATTGTTTGGCCATTCATTGGTAATTTGTCTCTAGAATTTTTGAGCCCCAGCATGCCCGACCTCCAGATTTATGGGGTAGGAGTGGGTTCAGGGTCTTATGGGAGGGCAGTGAGGGCAGGGAGGGCTTAAGGCTGTGAGTAGAAACATGGTGAGGTGGGAGAAGCTCCTGGAATATACACATACAGATTTTCCTAACACTGAAGAACATTCTCTCTCTAAGGTCTATCCTGAGCTCAGGAATCTGGCTGTGGCTGTATATATTGGTCTGGATTCTCTAGAGAAACATAAGTGATGGAATGAATACACATGGGAAAGGGACTTGTTAGACTGGCTCACAGGATAGAAGCCAGGTAGCCCAACAAGGGCCGTGTACTTGTCTGAGATGCTGAGAACCTGGTAGCTGCTCCGTCCACAGAGCTGGATGCCTCCACAGTCCTACTCTAAAGTTGAAGGCCTGGAGGGTTCCTGGAGAGCTGCTGGTCTTCAGTCCACGTTGGGAGGCCACAGAAGCTGGATTCCTGTGTCTGGGAGGATGGCGGACAGTGCACTCACCAGCAAGAAGTGATGGCAGGCGACCAGAGCAGCCGTGCTTTTCCTGGGACCTCGTTCTATCTGAGCTGCTGCCCACTCTGGGGCAGGTCTCCCATCAGTTAATCTTCCCTGCAAAGGCCCTTACAGACTCACCCAGAGGACTGTGTTTTACTTTCTGGCAGATCCAGTCAAGGTCACAGTCCAGATTAACTGTCACACAGTAGTTTTCGAGTGGAGTATATTTTAGGGGTCCTAGATTTAGAGGTGTCAGCACCTCCACCTGGAATGCTGACAGATGCTGGGCCCAGAGCCTGAAGCTGCCACATCATACCATGAAACCGAGTCTCTTTTAACCCTAAGTACCACCTTCTGTCCTTGGGGATGTTTGGTTTGCTTGAGCCATCAACCAACAAGGATCAGCAGAAGATGGTGGTCAGGATGGCACAATTAGAAGATGGGTGTCATGCCCTTTGTGTTCTTGTGTCTACTGGGGAGACAGATCCTGTGTCCCTGGGTGAGTCAGCCTCCCTGGTCACATCTGCAAAATGAGATGGCTGCTCACATCTGTGTCCCCACCCCAGATCTCTAACCGTCATCTGAGGTGTGAGGTAGATACAGTGACAAGGCTAACTATTAAAGAGCATGGCATAGTCTTTATAGGGCCAATTGGGTGAAGTGCTTTGTCCTTGGATGCCTGGATTTCATTCTTCCTAGACATCTATTTGAATCTGGTCAGAGGCAGCTGTGGCTTCTGGTAAATGGAAGGCACAGAGTTCCCTTTGGATGCTTTGGTCCTGGGTTCAGGCGATGACGACTCGGTGGGGCTCAGCACTAGAAGGCCCAGGACTCACCTGCATCACATCAGCTGTGAACTAGCAGCGTCCTGCAAGCCAGCATGGCTGAACTAGCTGGTCAGTCTAGGAGCAGTTGGTCTGCCATAGAGGCCAAGCTGCTGTGGTTGGGGAGACTTGGAACATGGCCTTCAGTCCCAGCTTTATTTTTTGGAGTATTCACTTTGTTCTAAGTGTGCCCTCTTTCTCAGGCCTCCTGCTTGGGGCTCAGGGTGGTAAGTCCTGTCCCCTGTGCATGTCCAGGACTGGGTGACAGTGGGCATGCCTAGATGCCCAGAGCAGGCAAGGATTAGTGCCAGAACAGTTCCATCCTGGAGGTATCAAATCTAACTGGGGAGAGAGTGTGTGTCCTGAGGATTCTGTCAAGATCAGATGGCCTAGACTCTGGTGTTAACTCCAGCTGTGAAGGGTTTGGAATATGGGACCTACTTTAGGAGTGGGTACTCCTGGCAGCAGCTGGAGAGGCTTGTTCCCACTTGGTGCCTCTCATTGGGTGACTGGAAGGCCTGGACTCATAGTTACTTGGTGAATCCCTAATGGAACCACAATGTTGGAACAGTGCTGGCACCTTGGGAATGCTGTCTGCAGGTTCACTTGTGGTTACCTATCCACAGGGACCACCGGAAAAGCACCATCCCCACCTCCCCTCCTTACCGAGCAACAGGTCAACGAGAAGGTGGAGAACCTCTCCATTCAGCTCCGGCTGATGACCCGTGAGAGGAACGAGCTGCGCAAGCGTCTGGCCTTCGCCACCCATGGAGCGACCTTCGACAAGAGGTAGCCGTTGTCCCAACTCCCCAGTGCCTGTCCTGGTGCCAGTGTGTCACCCTGAGCCACTTCCCCTTTGCACCCTGATTTCAGATGCCTGAACCTTGAGGGTGTCCCCTTCTTCAAATCTATTGTCCCCAAATGCTCCCTAAGGGCAGAACCTGAAGCCTAGGTTGGGGTGGGGGTGGGGGGTGGGGGCAGGCTTGTTCTGCTTCCTACAAATGAAAATTAGAACCTGTGAACTAAATTACATAATTCCTGGATTGAGGTGGTTATGTGTGTGTTCCCATCATGTATTTGAGGGGCCCTGATAACCTGTGGCAGAGGAACTGGGCCCACCCCCTCGGGCTTTTTACTTGCCTGGCAGGTGATTGTGTGGTGGGTACTCCTGGCAGCTGGTGATGGGGCCTGGTCTCACTTGGTGCCTCTCACTGGATACCTGGAGGCTGGGGGCTCCTCACTGCTCCTCTCTGGTCCTGTGCCTTCCACCTGAGACAGGCTTCCCGTGTCTCCTGCTGTGGCCCATTGCTGGCGGCATGTTTGTTTACAGGCATTTCCGTGGATCTTTCTGTGGGTTTTAAACACATTAGCCGTTCTCCCCACAGAGGTGCCTTGAAAAGGTCCCTTTTACCTGCATCTTTTTGTTTTGAAGGAATTATTTTCTTTTTGGAATTAGTATCTACTCTTTTGTAAAAATATTTGCTCAGCCTTTCCTAGGGACCCAAACACCATTGCTCCCGAGAGAGCTTGTTAAGGTGCAGGGACAGTTTCTCTTCTGCCCCTCCTGAGCATGGGGATCCAGTGTCTGTGACTGGGACTGAGATCTGCATGTCTCACAGGCTTTCAGGTACTGCAGTGCCGAGGCCTGGGAGCCACACTCTGAGTAGCACTGTCTAGCCCAGTGCTCACCTGGGCTGCTCGTTGGAATGCCCAGGGGCATTTTATGAAGCTGCCTGGGTGTTGCGTCTCGCCCTCTGCGGTGATGCTGTATGTCATCTGGGCATTGGTGCCATGGGTACCCAAGACTGAGAATCAGCTTTCTAAAGACAGGAGAACCTTCATCGCAGGTTTCTGTGGTCCTGGGCCTATGGCACAGACTCTTGGAAACTTCTTAGGGAGCAAATCTGCCCCTCTAGGCCCATTTAGGGAGCTAGTCCAGCCAGCCCTCCCTCTGTCTGGACACCTTGCCTCTTTGCTGGCCAGAGTTCAGGACAGCAAGTTTAACAAGCACCAGGAGATCACAGAGTATAAGAGCCAGCATGTGGGAGCCACTGGGCTGGGGTAGTGCAAAGCAGAGCCTTAAGTCCAGGTGATTCTTGAGGGTTGTGTTCATGGGGGCTCTTTGCTCCTGGGGCCAGGCCCTACCACAGGCTAAATCCTGACTATGAAAGGCTGAAGATCCAGTGTGTGCGGGCCATGTCGGACCTGCAGAGCCTGCAGAACCAGCATACCAACGCCTTGAAGAGGTGCGAGGAGGTGGCCAAGGAGACAGACTTCTACCAGTGAGTGCTCTACTGGGAAGGGGCCCAGAACTTGTGGATTAGTGGATTAGCCATATCCTGCCCTTCTCTGTCTTTGGACTGGAGAGTCAAGATCTCTGCTTCTAGTCCTGCTTCTGCCTCTTAGCAGACAGCTTGCCTTCAGTGAAAGGATTTGTGTCTTTCAGCTCAGTTTTCCTAAGTGTGACAGACTGTTAGTCCTTCCCATCATCTTGTCAGATTCAGAAACCAGTAGCTCGAAGAGCAATTTACACCATGAATCGGGAGCTCAGGCTGCTCTGGAGTTCTGGGGCTCTTGCTGGGGCTTTACTGAGCTCATGGCCTTAGCATAATAGATGGGTGTGCTGTCCTTGGGTCTCCTGTCCTCCCTTGCATTTGTCCAGAAGAGCAATTTACACCATGAGTTGGGAGCTCAGGCTTCTCTGGAGTTCTGGGGCTCTGGCTGGGGCTTTACTGAGCTTGTGGTCTTGGCATAGTAGATGGGTGTGCTGTCCTTGGGTCTCCTGTCCTCCCTTGCATTTGTCCTCTACCTGCTTGTGGTCCCCAGACCTCAGGACATACAGGCACAGGTTGGGTCCTCTCCTTTCCTTGGAGGTACATGTATGCCTTTGGGTATCAGTGTTTTCAGAAGTGAAATTCTTCCTAGAATTCGACTGTTTGCTGGCTATTGTCTCTCCCTGAATGCCACTGGCCTGGCTTCCCTCCCTTGCATTTGTCCTCCCTTGCATTTGTCCTCTATCTGCTTGTGGTCCCCAGACCTCAGGACATACAGGCACAGGTTGAGTCCTCTCCTTTCCTTGGAGGTACATGTATGCCTTTGGGTATCAGTGTTTTCAGAAGTGAAATTCTTCCTAGAATTCGACTGTTTGCTGGCTTTTGTCTCTCCCTGAATGCCACTGGCCTGGCTACCGTGGGCTCCTCTCTGGATCTTCCTGGGGACCTAGGCTCTGATGGGACTGGTTGTGCTTGGAGGTTGGGGCCAGGTAGAGGTTGGTTGAGACTCAATGTGTTTGCGGGGTTTCAGCACCCTCCACAGTCGACTCCTGAGTGACCAGACTCAACTGAAGGACAACGTAGACATGCTGAGGCGTGAGAACGGGAAGTTGCTGCGGGAGCGAAACCTGCTACAGCAGTCCTGGGAGGACATGAAGCGGCTCCGTGAGGAGGACCAGAAGGAGATTGGTGACCTCCGGGCTCAGCAGCAGCAGGTAGGGCCAGGCAGCTGGGGCAGGCTCAGGTCCATCCCTACCTGTCTATCTGACTGCCCTGCTGTTCACTCATCCATTCCTCTGTCTGCTACTCATCTACCCATTCATCATCCACCTACTTTCCATCCAATTGTTCATTATAAGTATTTTCTGGGAAGCCTGTATCCTGTGAGGAACCAGAATATTGAGAAACAAACCTTCCTTTCTCTGGAAGCTGTAGTTTACTGAGGGAAACAGGCTACTCACATAATCACACATTTATATGCTGTATGAGTATTTCAGGTGCCTCTAAGTAGAGTGTGCTCAGAGGAATGCAATCGGGGTATAGCAGAGGGATTTGACTGAGTCAGGGTTGGGGGGCTGTGGCTCGTTCCTTGTGTGGGTCATGTGAGATCACAGGCAAAAAGAGTTCCCTGTGCAAAAAGCAAATGGAACAATTCTCATTGTCATCTTTTTGGTGGAAAGACGCTGCATCTAGGGCACTCAGCACGTGCTGTGTGGAGCACCAAGTAAACTGCAGTCATTCTAAACTTGCTCACTCTGGTCTAATACCGGTCTCATGGAGGTTGGGAGAAATGAGGACCCTCAGAGCGCCTGGCTGTGAGGTAAATGGTGTAGGCCTGTGGAAGCCATGCATCAGTTCCTTAGAGATGAGCCCAGTGATTCCAGGACGGGAAGGACCTTCCACACAGAAACTAGGAGACAGCAGGGTTGAGGGTAGCAGAAAAGCCCAGGTACCCAAACCTGAGGCGTACATAAGTTCATGCACTATAGCTTTCACTACAGTAACACGAACATGTGGTACATGTAGATAAACCGTAAAACCATTTGGCAAATTTTCACCTACTCATTAAAGAATCTTCACCAGTCATGGTCGCCTGTGTCTGTAACTGCAACACTCAGAAGCTGAGGCAGGAGAATTGTGTGTTCTAGGCCAACCTGAGCAATGTAGTAAGACCTTGTGTCAAAAAAAAAAAAAAAAAAGTAGTAAAAAGTGAAACTCTGGAGCCATGGGTTTCCTTGCCCTTCATTCTCTGGCTGCCTGGGGACCTACATGCTTTATAAACATTCGGACTGCGCTTGTTCCCCACCCTATTCTTTCTCCCTGCCCTTTCCTGCTCCCCGCCCCCACGTGATGTGAAGTTCTTTCTTCCTCTTCCTCCTCTTTTGTGCTAGTGCTTGCTCTTCTTTCTTTTCCAATAGCTATGGACCTTGGTGGTCAGGGTCCTGTGGGTGTGTTGGGCTTAGTCTTGGTCACTAAGATTCCCAGGTCAGGCTAGTTCGACTGAGGTCTTAGAGAGTGCCAGCCTGGGACCCCACCAGCAGATGAGGCCAGGCTGCCATAGGGAGAGCTGGTGGGGGTTTTGAGCTGCCTGGCCCCATGTTCTCAGTTGGCCTTCTTAGTTTTGCCAGGTCTGTGTGGTTGCAGAATGCAATGGTGGGGAGGCTAGCCACAGCAGAAGCAGGTGACATGGGATGTCCACAGGCATCCTCCCCACTGGGCCTAAAGGCAAAGGTCACCCTCACTGGACAAGACTGGTTTTGTTGCCTGGTTCCTCCCACGCCTTGTAAACCTGAAGAGGCCCTTGCCGGGTAAATGGTGCTGTTTGACTTGCATGTTTGCTGGAGGGATTTGTGGGCCTTCCAGTCCTCTGAAGATTTACTCAGAGGAAATGAGGCAGTCCCCAGTGGGAGGGGTGACCCTGGGACTGGGCCTTGGCCCCTTTCCCACTTGAGAGTCGTAGACAGGTGCTTTGTCCTGTGTGTGTGCCGTGGGGGAGGAGGCTGAAGGCTGAAGGCTGGCCCTAGTTTCATTTCCCTTGTAGGTCAGAATGGGTCACCTTGGATTCTTTGGGGTATGCTGAGGAGATCCTGCATTAGGAAAGTAAAGTACAGGATGTTTTTGTATCATCTTTCCTTTACTAATATAATGCATATTTCATTTAAAAAGAAAAGAAATCCTACAAACAGCAATGAAGTCATAGACTCCAGATTCAGCTTAGTCTTTGCAGAAGTGACCAGCGTCTGTCATATTTGGTTATATTTTGTCATATTTGTGATTTTTTTTTCCTGTGTTCAATACACACACAACATTCTCATTTTATTTCCCCAAACTTGCCTTTTATTCATTTATTTTTATCCCACAGTGAATGTATCATGTATCTCCTGATAGTTTCTGATTCTTTGAATATCCAAATACCTGATTTCTTGATTTCATCGTCAGGGGTGGATGTCTAATCCTCATTCCGTGTTCACTGAGCTTTTTCATTGCCAAAACTTCTTCTTCATTACAGACAAGTTTTCAGTGGACATAAATACGTCTTTATGTGTTTTTATTGCAGCTACTTAGTGTATGTGGAGGGAGGGGGATACATGTGCCTGTTGTGCAGTGTATGTGAAAGTCAGAGGACAGCTTGTGGGAGTTGGTTCTCTCCTACCGTGTGGGTCTTTGGAATCAAACTCAGGTCATCAGGCTTATCAGTAGGTGCTTTTACACACTGAGCCATCTTGCTGGCCTTTGTGCAAATATTTTAAAATTTGACTCTTAAAAGTAAAGTTTCTGTGTCTAAGGCAATATCAGTTCTACTGATTCATTTGAGAAACTTATGAGGTGGTAAGAATTTCCTCTCTCTTTTGATCTGTGCCTGTCTTTAAAATGTACTGTTTTCTTTTTTGATTTATTGGCTTCTTTTTCAAGGTCTCCCAGATCTTCTTCTCTTCCATTAGCCTTACCTGGGAAACTGACCATGACTGCAACTCTGTGTGTGTGTGTGTGTGTGTGTGTGTGTGTGTGTGTGTGTGTAAGGAGAGAAGGTTTAGATATGGAGCTATCTTGTGCTGATTAGTTTTAACGATCAACTTGACACAGCCTACACACCTGGAATCATTTGGCTAAATGAAGAATTACATGGATCAGGTTGGCCTGTGGGCATGTCTGTGGGGGACTGCCTGGACAGTTAATTGACCGAGCCCACTGTGGGCAGCACCATTCCCTAGGCTGAACCCTGCCCTGTGTGAGTAAAGGAAGCTAGAGGAGAGCAAGCAAGGATCTGTGTTTGTTTTCTGCAGTGGAAGTGATGCTGTAAGTTTCTGCCTTGACTTCCTTGCAATAATGACCATAACCTAGAATCGTAAGCCAAATAAGCTTTTTTCTTCACTAAGTTGCTTTCGATCAGGCATCATTCTCCAGTTCTTGGGAATTCACATGACCACAGTTCCTAGTTCCTCTGAGGCTGTCAGTGACAAAGCACAGGTATGATTCTGAGCCCTTGTAAGAGAAGTTGACAAATGCCTGGGGCCTGGGAGCCTCTTTGAAGGTCTGGATGCTGTCCTGTGGGAGAGGATGCCTCTCCAAGGCAGAGGCCAGAATCTACAGGGAGGTGGAGTTCAGCTCACAGCAAGCAAGACCTCTTCATGCAGGGCTTTATCTGGGGAAGTGGCTGTGCTGTGGAGGCAACCACAGTGGAAATAGGCCAGGGTCTGTTTTCTCTCCAGTCTCTTCTGGTCCTAGGACATTGTCAAAGATGTGCTGAGCATCAGAAAGGACCCCTGAGTTTGCTTTGGGATTTTCCCAGGCCTGCCCTGTCTCAACAGGAATTAAGTTACTTCCTGGCAACCCGATTCCCCCAGCCCTGGATTGTCCTGCAGGCCTGGTTCTAAGCTCTTCAAAGTTAGAACATTTAGGGGACTGGTTCCCAATGAAGAACAGATGAGCCATGGTACAAACTCCAGATTCTATTGTGGACTGGAGAAGGTGGTGCTGCCCAGCTGGGCTAGATCTGGTGTTATGTCATTGAAGGGTGCCTTGAAAATGAATGTTTCTTAATGAGAGCCTCTGACTGGCTACCCAGGGCTACCCCCTTGTGGGGAACCCAGGTAATAGCAGCAGTGTCTTTGTTTTAAGTCAAGCAGGACCCCTTAGACTCACATACATGGCTGGGGAGGAGGGGGATTAGAGAACAAAACATCTGTTTAGTCTTGGCTGGAGTTTCTGAGATGTTGCCTACTGACAGGGTGATCCAGTGCAGAGGCTGGAACTTCTCCAGACAAGATGCAAGGCCGTGGTGGTCCATTGACCATGTGAGCTGGTCCTGGGGGGATGGCATACTTGTGTCTTGGTTGTGACACTGTCCCAGGATATCCCCAGTGTCCTCTGGAGCTCATTGTCTGTACCTGTACAGTTTGGGTGTCCTCAGTTTGCTCTAAGGACCCAGTTCCTTGGTTCCTCAAGACCCAGTTCCCATTGGCCAGTGGTATGTGGAAGAGGATAATATTTTGTGTCCGTCTCACATCACATGCAGAAGCATATCCCAAGGAGTTGAAAGATTTAAATGGGAAAAATAAAACTTGACTACATTTAGAAGTCACAATAGGAGGGTAACTTTATGGCCTCGGGTAGGAAGCAGGGTGTTTCTTAAAACAATCAAAGCACAAACCACAAAGGAAGCCCTTGATTTTATTGTAGTGAAAGTGAAATGTTGGCATGAGATATGCCACAGTAGAAGTCACCACAGCAAACGTCAAAGCCACATGTTGAAGGAAGATCACTGTGATGAATGTAACTAGGAAATGGTCAGTATCTGGAGTTTACACTTGACTTTCCAAAAGGCTGAGAAGCAATATCTTCTGGAATTTAAAAATCACTCCTGGAGGGCAGGAGTGCAGCTCAGGTGTCCAGTCCTTGCTGAGCATGCAGGAGGCTGTGATTTGGAGATGAAGGGAGATGGGGAGGAGAATGAAAGACTGGGAATGGGAGTTCCTAGAGACAAAGGTGTATAATCCATAAACTTGGTTGATGTTAAAACAAAATGTGGCATATCCATACAGAAAAATACACTTCAGCCTGAGAAAGGAAGGGACTTCATCCATCTTTCAACATGGCTGAATCTTCAGGACACCATGCTAAATGAAATGAGCCAGACATCCCCCCAATAAAAAACTCTTAAACATATTTATTTTTTTAATCTATGTGTGTCTGCATGTGTGTGCATGAGTTTTTG